CCGGTGCTGTAATAAGACTGAAATGGGTGCTTTCCGGTATTTCCTCGTGTGAATTTCGCTTTATAACGATATTGTTCATTATATCCTACATCTGGATGAATACAATGTTTGAAAAATACAACGTAGCTAACCACTTCTTTTTAGATACCTATTAAAGCACAAGAAGCAAACCATAGATATCAGAAAAGGTCTCTATGCATTGAACAAAACATTATAGGATCCTCTTTTGTTATAGCTTAGGAAAATAAGCTAGCGCTAGTCTACGATACGAAAGAAAAGCAACTATTGAAAAAAGGCGATTATAAAATCGCTACAATAAAATTTATTAAAACAAACACCTTCGTGCTCTGAAAGGCTCGCATTGCATGTGGTAATATCCATTAATCCGCACTGGACCAGCGAAGTATGCTATGGCCCTTTGTGTTTGTGTGAAACATAGCGATACTTTAATTACAGATATATATGGTGTGGAAGATCTGTAATGCTGTTATGTTATAAAAACAGCTTCGAACCCAACATCGAGAGTGGCGCTGACAAAGCACAGAGTTTTAATCTAATAAAACCTACTTCTAAAATATAATACAAGTTTTATTTAATTGAATCTTTATGATATGTAATGATGATAAAAAATTCAATAGAATAGGTGCGGTTAAGCTTTTTGAAATACATGACTTTTGTTAATTCAATGTTGAATTATTAAATGCTGTATAGAATATAAATGGATATTTTAACGTTGTAAAGAACAATGTACTAAAGATGTCACTGTATGGATGGATGTTTAATAATAAACAAAAAAAAAGTTGAATTAATGTTATCCGCATGTTAAGTACCTAAATAGAAATGTAACGGCATTACAAGAGGATTATATAAGGTAACTTATTCGTATTTGTTCCACGGAAAAATGTCAAAATTGACTTTGCTATATTCTAAGGATTTCCGACCAATAAGCTCATTTAGTTCAGTTTAGTTCAATTACATTGGTCGAGTGCATTTTATAGTCTCCACTTAGAATTTTGCTAATAAATAAAGAGAAAACATTCGATGTATGGTCAAGCTAGAAACCGGACTAATAGAATTAATAGTGTGTTGTGTTGATATTTATGTATATTTAAATAAAATATCTTGTCGCAGCTGCAGCGTTAGCAAATTTGATATCTCTTATGTAAAATCTCTTACTTATAAAAACTTCAAAAGATAAAACTAATACTTAATCTGATATAAACATTCAAGGAATAAATACCTCTTTGAGAAAATTGAAAATCGAATTTCGAGCAAATAATTCGCTCTATTAAATAATAAGCTCATTCGGAAGCAACTTAAATATAAATTAAACGGTTATATTCATTTATTTAGTTCACTTAAGTTTAAAACATGCAAATGTTTGGAATTCTTGGAATCAAAGCTAAGAATAAATCTTAGCTTTGATTCCAAGAATTCCAATTTTGCATAGAATCGGGTCGAAATAGACACTATCTAAAGATATTGACTTAGGAGCCTCAGAAAATTATAGGATACGTCGTATGATCCAAGCCGTAAATGTCGTTTGACTAATAATAATTATAACATACTATATATGAGTTAAAATTGATATTGATTTAATAATGCACTATATTTGGAAACGTCATTACGTCTGTTAGGTGCTGGTGAATTTCTTGAGCCCGTAATATGAATATTTTTCATGGTTATATTTTTGAACAGCGGACTTCTTTCAATAAGATTGGCTGCAGGTAATATAAAGACTGGTTTATTGTTATTTTTATTTAGTGATTATCCCGCATTCAGAGAGTTTCTGTATCCTTTATAACTGTTAACATATTAACCAATAAAACTGGGACCCAAAGTAGGTTGAGAGCACATTTTCATATTGTTTAGAAGAACGATTGGATTTTTTGTTTGTATATTCTTTACGCTATAATTTACGCTGGTGAAGTCGTAGAAAAACAGCTAATTAAATAAAACTATATTCATTATTTAATTGAAATGTTAAAATACTTATATCCTTCTAATATTATAAAAGTGCAGGTTAATGAGATTAACGGTCAGTTGCACAAACGTCCATTAAGGTTTAATAACGCCTTTAAGCTCTAATTAATATCAAATTTGTATGTGTAATGTCGCTTTACACTAATGTAAATGTTAATGGACGTTTGTGCAACTGGCTGACAGTCTGGTGACATACATAAAGAATTTGGCGATGTATTTCTATATACACTTTCAAACAAAGAAAGTGCATGTCGATACAAGACAGTCAAATTGAAAACCTATTCTTATTTTTTGTAGTTGGTTAAAAATAAATGACTGTAAATACTAATGCCATGCAAACGAAGTTGCAAAAAAATTGAGTTTGACTGACACTCACTTCTCTTGTTTTGTAACTGACAATCCGGAACAATTTCATATTTCCCAAACTTTTTATTGAGTTGTTGCCGAGTTTTTGAGGGAACTTTGTAATTTAACTCACTCTGCGTAGGATTTGTGGAAATGATCTCTATCACATAAATATTAAGGTATAATACGTCGAATGTTATTAATAACTGTTACCGCTGGTAAAGGCTGGTACTTCTTTAGATTAAAGAATGCTAATTACGTCTCGACTCTAGTTTTAATAGAAGTCGTTTTCTTATTTAAGATTGAATGTACAGTTGACGTCAATCTAAACACCCAACTCCACACTTGGTGGGAGGTCAGAGAACCGTTCTCCATTCCAGAACAATTCCATTCTAGTTGAGCAATCTTTCGAGCAATGACAATTACGTTGGTTCTCCTACGGACCTTTTTATTTATAATTCAATTACCATGAGGAAAATCAAGCGTTAAAATAAGACATTTCTTGTGAGTTTGAGGCTTTTTATGGGTTCCATAGTGAAATATCTTAAATGGTGAGTTATTGAAAAACATTACATTCCATATAGTTTTTTTATTATAACAATATTGCAAACAATTAAAATAAATATTAAGTAGCGGCAAACAGAATTAACTTAGCAATAACTTTTTTACGTATAATAATAGACTTACTGAACTATTAAAATGCAAATTCATTAACTACAAATAGGTAACAACAAGGAGCTGTTAATTTCAAATATTGGTACAGCCAACTGCACGTCATGTTACTACAAAAGCTCAAGTTTCTTTAATCTACTATAAGCTTTAATCTAGTTAAATTGAATATTTATTATACTTTATTCGCTTTTGTAGTGACATTGACATGCTGTTGGGTATACAATGTGATTCATACACTTACTTTATTATTTATAGGCACTAAGGCTATTATTATATTAAAATACATCTGCTTCATTTAATAATGGCTTATCTACGAGCTTCAGCCATCATCATCAGCTCTTTTTACGTCTCTATTGCACGTAAAAAGAGCTGATGATGTGGCTCAGACCTTTCTTTTGGATGGTTAAGGACGATGGGCCATGAACCTCCACGCTAGCCCAATGCGGATGAAGGGTATTAACGACTGCAAATACAGTAGGAAGCAATGGCTTTAACGTGCCTTCCGAAGCACGGAGTAGCTCGAGAAAACTATATACGGTACGGATTATTACATTGGAAATTAAATTTTTATATATATTATTTTACTTCTTATGACAGTTTAACGAATCTGTAACAATACTCATCACATTGCATGGCATGCAAGACATTACACAACAATACTTATATGGTTATCGTTTTAAAAGATTTCAAAATACACACGCCAATTAAGAGGAAAAAACTCTTTTGTTTTTGATAAGCTTAAAATTTTCCTTCACGTCACTGAAGCTTTCAGTTGACAAATAACTGACGGCCTATAATTAAAAAGGTATTAGTGACCATACATGGGCTTATAAACATGAGCTTATATTTTTTTTTCGACTTCAAATAGAAAAACTTTTTAATGTACGATGACACATTATTTTCTAATTTTGTGAAAATTGATATATCGCACCCATACTGCCAAAACCTGTTAACTGAGAAATTTTACAAAAACTAAATTGGTTTAACCAGTAGATGTAGCTTGAAATTTGCTATCGACTGGTGTAACCAGATTTTACCAGCATGGATGTGAGATATGCAATTGATTTTGTAGCCAAGAAGTAACTAAATAATAAAGATCAATTGAGAATAACTTATTTAAAAATAATCCACCGTCTTTCTTTATCTACTCGTATTTAATGCAGAGAGACAAGAAGGCATATGTTATAAGGCTATTACTGAACATAATAAAAATATATTAAAATTTTAACTGTAAAAACACAGGAATACGCACACTAGTATATGAACGACAACATTTGCTATCTTATTATCTACTAATTTTAATTTATTAATTTCTATTTCTTAAATTAAATCTAAAACTTAATATTAGGTATTATTTTAAAATATGATATTTAATATTTCTAAGGGATCACAAAATGAATTAACATCAGCTTCAAAATAAAGTAATAATCATACTGGAAATTGTACTATAGTTTTAAATATTACGGTTATTGCAAATATTTAATGAAATCTCAAATAAATCGCACCTTTTTAATCAAACGTAAAGTAAATTTAATATATCAAGAATTTTGAGTCATCGATGCTGTTTAAATAAAATATCCGTAATCTGCACTATTAAAATATTGAGATTTACTATCTCAATATAATATCTTGATATACTATTTCAATATTTTTTATAACGTTTCATCTTTTATGTCATCTGGAATTTAATTATTCCGTTACCAAACGGAATTATTTTTCAGCAATGGTTTAACATAAAAGGTCTTAAATTGCCTTGCGACTTATCATTATAATATTTTTTTGTTATTACAATATCTTGAATTATTGGCGTTTAAATCAGTCGTGATCCAGCTGCTAAGCAGCGAATTCAGTCGTGTATCAGTCGTTTTTTTATGCCTCATAAAGCTACCATAATTCAATAATATGAAAATCCTTTGCTGCCAGCAACACAAACACCGAAAAAATGTGTATATACGAATATTATAGGTATTCCTATTTTTTTCCTCCTTCTTTTTCTTATTGAAACAATTAAAATAAAAATTGACAGTGCTTTTAATGTTTAAGAATAAGTTTCTAAGTTTCACCAATGACGAAAATGTATGGTATCTTAAAAGACATATGCCATCCTTATAAGAATATTTAATTTCTAATTTGGCAGCATATTTTTACTGTATGTGTTATTTATATTGAATTAAAATGAAATGCGTCACTTGTTATATGTGGCGGAAGGAGATTTCAAACATTTATAATACATTGTATCAACTTTCCGTAGGTATATTGTCTGAGATTTACAAAGAAACAGACATACGTCTGTTTCTTTATGTCTTCGGAAAGCTGTTGCTTGTGTGATTGATATTATTTTTAAGATTACAGCGACTAAACGAGGCTAATATATCTTATCTAATCAACCTTCTGCGTTCTCTTGATTTCCAATAATTTCAAAATGTTAAGGCACCAGAACATAGCAGATATTACGTAGAAGATTTGCAAAGCGGTTCCCAACGGGCTGGTGCCTATGAGGCTTCTGGTGAGGAAAGCGAGAAACGAGCACCTGATGACCTCGAGCACGGGAGCGTACTTGGAGTTGTCGAATAGCATTCCAATAATCGTGAGACACGCGATGATGTAGAAAACGAATATCAACACGGATACTGGGGTCATGCCCTGGAAAGAAGAGAAAAAAAATAATGTGATAACCTCGGAAGCAGGGTGGGTTTGTATGTCGGTTTCAAGGTGTCAGACACCGTCTCTGAGGTCTCGGGCCTGGTTGTATCTGGGGTACCTTCGTTCTCTCAGATACTCCATAGCACAAGGGCTTTAGCTACTCATCTCGGAATCTATGTATAGTTGTCTAATATTAATTTTAAATTTTAATTAATTTCGGATTCACAATGCTATACAGAAAAATATTCTTAATGAAAATGCTTAAAAATCCACTTAGTCCATGGCAGACGGGATCTCAGGTTGTCAGGGACCAAGTGGATTTTTAAGCATTTTTCATTAAGATTATTTATTATTTATTGTTAAAAAATACAATCGGGGACCGGGTAATTACGTTATTTCAGATTTATTTTAAAATTTCTAATAATTTGTAATGTTTATAAGACAGCTTTATTAAAATTAAATTAAGCTAACACAATAACTTCTATGAAATTGTTATTTGATTACGACAATAATTTGAGTCTAATAACTTGAAGCAACAATAAAAAAAATGGTATTCCACTTATTAATTTTTTTTTTTTATTATTAAGAACTGTCTGTATCTGAGACATAAATAAATTCAAACGCCCATTTATAGACGTAAATAAAACATTGGTAATCCTTTGACTTACAGACAATGTATGGAGGCATAAAATAATTTTTAAATAAGTTAAGACTTTTTTAAATTACTTTTACTATAGTGAAAAATAAATGATTGTGTATTTAATAGAGCATTTAGTAAGAAAAGAAACGATTACTTTAAATAATTCGCTCAATATACACAAACATGATGTAATTAGTTTTCTGGATTCAGTACTCAAAGTTTTCTGGATTCGGGACCTTAACAATGGTCCATCGTGTCTATCGCGTAACTACAATTGTTTCTATTCAATTCCATTGCCATCAAAATCAAAGCAAATGCTGGAGACATGCTGTTCATATTTTTGTCTGTCACAAAATGAAGTTACTTTATCTACCATAATAGGCAGACAGTTAAAATTTTCATAAAATAAATTGTTGCAATTTTTATTTGCTCGATAAATGTAAAAGTTATATAAAAATAAAATGGCAACACATACTGTTTTGTTTGATATGAAGGAGTAAAAAATATTTATTATGAAATGGTTAATTTTTTATGGCATAGTGATGTAAAGAATTACTTCCTTTGTAATTCTATCCAATAAAGAAGATCGGTGTTCCATTAATAGGCTGATGGGGTCGATGAGATATCATAATAATTCATAGATTTGAGTAATGTATACATATGAGTAATAAATGTATAAAAATATTATAAAAAAGGAAAGATTTGATTGTTTGTTTGCATTGAATAGGTTCCGAAACTATTGGAGCGATTTAAATAATTCCTTCACCTAGATAGGGTTAACATAGGCTATAATTTACTCGTGTGAAGTCACGGGAAAAGCGCTAGTGTAATATGCAATTGGGTCTATAAAGGATCAACAATGTTATTATTCCTTATTGAGCAAAAGATTTGTATTTTTTTTCTCACAAAACTTAACTGAACGGAATCGTGAAACGTTATTAGAAAAAAAATCTCCCAAATGCGTCATGCTACCGAAGTTGAAGCAAATATCTTATATAATAAAATTTCCTCAAACAGGATAATAACTCAGAATATTGTGAATCTTGTCGTGGTTATATTTAGAGAAAAATAATCGTCTCACAGAAGGGGATCTGTATTTAATTGAGGATTTTCGGATCAAAAACTCAAAAGAGCTGACATTGTTTTATTTCGTCCAACAGAACAGAACACATTTATGAATCGATTGATATTTTTCTTTTAGCTTGGCAGGGGTAAGGAATCCTCCTTTTAGACAGGACTTAAGGTTCCTGTTTCATGCATCGAACTACACGGTAGAGTGGTTTACTAATTGCTTTCATGTCTTTACTAACTAACGTTAATCAATGTTTATATTATACTTTTCTATACATTTCATGAGTGGTTGTATTTTTATTCCAATTTAAATAATATAAATGATTTACTCTAATTGTATTTTTATTTCGTGTGATAGAATTTCAAAGAAAAAGTGGACATAGGCGGGGTATATTTCTAGAATGTACGAGAAATGCTGGACAAGACGAGTCCTAGAGTGGAGACTCAGAGCGAATACCAGAAGGCGTAGTAGACCACCGCAATGCTGGGTAGATGATATGTGACGGCACGGATTCACGGATTGCACTGGATGAGTCGATCACAAGATCACCAGATGTGGAAGTGAAGGGAAGAAGCCTACATCCAAGACTGATGATGATGATGATAGAGCTTTTTCGAGAAATTATATATTTAACGGTTACAACCATACCGATATCTATCATGTAGTATAAGAAGAATTTAAATTCTACTAATCTAAGGGACATACGTAGGTTGAGAGAAGCTTTAATATGAAGTGATTATTATATTGTCTCACATTATGAAACATCGACCTTCTCTTTCACTGTTGATGGAGCTATTTTAAAGTAACTTTTAATATAAAGAAACTCACCATATATCTAGCTGCAAGCTCGAAGAAGCCGTATAAGACAATTGTATAGTGTGCCACTAAGTATATATTGCACCATGTAGGTAGATGTATATCATATTTCTCTCGGGGAAGGATCTGAAAAAATACATGTTTTTAATGAAAGGCACACATTTAAGCTTTATCCGATTTGCTATATTATAGAGCTGTCTAAGGTAGTTAATGCTAAAAACTCTAATGTTCAAAACCAACGAGAATACATTCCGTTTGCATTCCTGCCGTCTATTGGCCAATAGTAACACTGAAGTGTAATAAAAAGTATTTGATTTGGTAAAAACAGTGAATTCTTTACAGTACGTGACTGGAGAGCAAATTTCATCAATTATTTTTCCCCCGGTCTAAATAATCTGAACGTATTTTCATTCCGGAATCAATTATTAAAAAATTATGATGTATAATTTTTCCATAGGAGGTTGATGCAATCGTTGCAACCAACGAAGCCGTAGATGATATTGGATAGGCTTCATGGTGTAAGATATCTTAAGAATGTAAAACATTAATTAATTAGCTCGCTGATTATAAGAAACATTCAATGTTAGCACTTGAGAAAGTCAAATAATAACACAATTTTTTTCGCAATGCCTGCTTAATGCCACCGATCCGACAATATTTGCTCTCAGCTCTCTATGATCTGAGGTCACCACGATTTGTTTCAAAGTCAAATGTATGTTTTAAGGTCAGAAACGTTTACCTAAACTGGTTCAAACAGTCATCAATTAAGACGTTCCCGAGAATGTAATTAAGTGAAACGAATCTATATTTATATCTTGTTGGTTTGGACGTCTATACTTCTTAATTGGTATTTTCCTAAAACCATCTTGAAAATTATGTTCTTTACGCGTATCTAAATGTTTGATTGGTTTGCTTTAAATACTTACATCAATCTTCATATTCTCGTCTCCCAATCTAGGGGTGCCGGGCTCCCAGCTAGGTCCATAGAAGACCGCTTTGATCTTGTCACCAAATTTGTCGAACCTTCTAAACTTGTCAATCACGTACCTTGTGTAGAAGCCCTAGAACAAAGTAGCTGGTTTCAAATTCTTATACATCACCACTAAAGCTACTTAAATGTTTGTCTAGATCAAAATAACTTTTTTATTATTGCCGAGACAATGATGAATAATATGTGTTTCAATTCAAAGAAAAGTTCTTAAAATCTTAAAGAAAAAAGTTTAAAAAATCACCAGTCGCAAGTGCCCGAGATGGGGATTCGAATCCACAACCTTTTGAAATCCGGGCGACTGGTCTAACCATTGAGCAACCCGAAAACTAGCAGGAGTGACAGATTACTCTAGCATTTGTTAATCTCGGTACTAGTGAGCGTATTATCATCATTGTTCAGGAAATACACATAGACAGCCGGTAGCATATTACTATAAATATTTTTAACTTTTTTATTTTAAAATATATGACAAACTCTTTTACATAAGGTAGTTAAAGAGAAAAGGGATACTACTCACTAAACCTAAAAGGTAGATAGATTAAAGCTTTATTATTTGCTACCGCATATATAACTTAAATAATAAATATTTTTACAAAAAAGGAAAGGAGCTTTGAAGATAAAATCAATGTGCGAATGGAAGTACAAAGTAGAGTCGGGATAAATCTGACCATAAGGCAAAACATTGATTTTAAGCGCAAACATGTATACAGATAACGGATTAACATTATAATAAAAAATAATGCGGTTAAGGCAACGAAGATCCTTCTGAACTGCTTTGAAAAGAAATAAGTCGAATTTCATGAGAATGTAGAACGTTTTCAACGTACGTGCTTTTATTCAATTTGTCGATAAGAAGTCTGTTTGAGGTTGAGGTCTATATAATGTTGATGTTTTGTTAGATGCCGTAAACAACGTCCCTGTTCGTGATTATTTTTGACACCCACACTTCCAAGTTTACTGGCATCTTTAATTAGATATCTTCAGCAAAGAATAAATTGGTTTTGATGAAGTAAGCAAAAGTTTTGTACCCTCTTAAATTATATAAATAAATTGGTTTTACTTTGTAACTTTATGTTAAAAAAATAATATTGTATAAAATAATTTTGTATTTCTTTTTATTATTTAAGTTAGCTCCATCAATTAGTAGGTTTCTGATCTCAATTCTTAATATTGGTACTCATCGCGCTATGTTGATATTCGTTAAAAAAGTACTCGAGACTCTACAGAAGTAGCCATAGATACTTACTTGTAAGTATACGGGATTGAAGGATGGCTGGTTGTAGATCAGTCCGTATACGATTTCGACCTTATCCGATTCAGGTCTAAACGTACCGAACAGACGGTCCCAGACGATCAGGACCCCGCCGTAGTTCACGTCCAGACAATATTTGTTGCTTCCTGTGAATATAATGTCAATATACAGGATTTCCTTATAATGAGGACCGGGGATATGTTTGTTTTTAGTTTTCAAGATGTTAAAATGGTTAATTAATATAGTGCCATTGGTGGATGATAGAACGAAAGCAGTATAACGCGAAGTTACAAGAACGTCGAAAGAATGCACGACTAAGACGATTCTATTATTTTATCAGAAGATTATGTCAAGAGCCATAAAAAAAATTACTAGCATATATGAAAAATAAGCAAAACATCTGTGCAATGACTGTGTCCCATAGCGCTGAGTTACTCTAACCTAACCTAATCCGCAAGGAATCTGATCAGAAAAATTATGTATTTTCATTACAAAGCGTAACTGATCTTACACAAACGTCAATTAATGTTTAAAGACGGCTTTAAGCTCTAATGCAAGTTCTAAATTTGATATTTTGTTCGGTAAAATCGCTTTAAAGTAATGTAAACTTTAATGGACGTTTGTGCAACTGGGCGTAAGTATATAATTTACTTGAAATATTTTATTTTATTTATCTGTGACTCTCCAAAGCCTCAAACTTCGACTAAATATTGAGATCAGTGCTAGCCACATTATCCATTGCGTGTGAACAAATAGCGTTTAGCTATTGACGATTTTCTTAACCAACAAAGCACTTTTTAAAACTCTCCCAAAGACTTTTTTAATAAACATCACAAGTATATAACTTTGGCAGTTATTCAGATGAAGTATTTTAGCTTTTTTATTTTTAATGTTTTATTTTATATCTGTGCCAAGATATTATTTGAATTTGTATTCCTTAATCTTATAATATAACAACGGAGCCACACAATATCGTTTATAATGTAAGGAAAATGGTGTTAAAGGTATCAAAAGTCAAATTTCTCTTTCTTTACGAATTCACACAAAGCGAATACAAATAAGCGTATAATGTGGCGTAACGTATTATCCTCTTTTGGGGTGTTTATTTCATCCAACAGATGTAATCAATAAGTTATTTCTTTTTAAAATTTTCTAATATCAGATTACAAAAAGCCTCTTGTAAATGTACTTGTTGAATTGAAAGATGTATTCTATTTTTATTTAATATACAATTGAAAATAATATGATTCGGCTCTATCAGGCACGATAAAAAAGTAGAAATAGGATTTTACTTGTTTTTCTTTTCTTTTTCGATATAAAAGTTTTTTGCTGAACGGTAATTACACACATAATAACCGTGTATTTGCAGAATAAAACGAGCAACATCTGTTAAAAATAATGATATAAGTACCGAACAAAAGGCTAACAAAACATAGGGTACAGTATAAATATATAAATTGCAATGGTTTTTAAGGAAGCACAACAATTTCGAATCTCTGATATATGAAACTTACATTAATATTATGTATTGGTCTCTTATATTTTCACGCGCATTATCAATTGACCCTTTACAGCAAACCTGCAAAGGGTCTGAAACGTCATAAAATAAAACACAAACGCGATGAAACGTTTCAAAGTTGTTTCATTTATTAATATTAGGTTTTTGTTAGTTATGCTAATTTTTAAGGTTTCTTTTGGCAACAGAATTAAATTACGAAATATGAACCGATCATTTCCCTTTTAAAAAGGAATGTTTTTAAAAAAAAAGACTCTGAATAAATAAAGGTAGAAAATTTATCCTAAAGATAAATAATATAACAAGATTTGGATAATTGTAAGGAAAACAATGATATTTTTCATCATCGTATTTCCTTTTGTTATAAACTGTTTTAGCTATATTATATCTCATTTCAAATTCCTTTAAATCAAATACTATATCAATATAAAGGAAAAATTAATTTATGGGTGTATTTTGCTTTTATAGAAGCATCTTAGAGAAGTTTCGTTAGCAGCGTCAAAAAAAAAAAGAAAAGGTCTCCGTAAGCTCAGCCCATTCACAAGGTTAAGTTAGAAAAATTGCTAGTTCGACGTCGAGTTTAGCAGTACAGTTAGCAGTACATTAGGTTTTACAATATTGTACAATAAATTTAATCGATATTCAATCTAATTAATGCCTTTGAACTGGACATACAACTGTGTATTCAACATGTAAAATGTTTTGGTAACTTGTCGTGAATGAGGCAATAAGTCTTTCAAGTTCTATCCTAAAATGTAAGCTTAGTATACGGTCGTAAAGTGTATGTAGTAGTTGATTTGACTCTTAATATTAACGCAAAGTTACAAATATGTACAGTTTTAAATTTTTTATCCTAAAGGGTTCCATTCGATAATGGAAGATGATTAGATTCAGCGATTATTATAAAACAGTGCCTTACCATGATGGACCCTGTGATGGCTCGGAGTATTCAGGATGTACTCCAGAGGGCCTAAACTTTTTATGGCCTCCGTGTGTATCCAGAACATGTAGATGTAGCTGAATTGATGATGCATCACGAACTGTGCCGGCGGGATCGCTAGCGCCAACGGCAGGTAGAATACCTGTTGACAGTTGTCAAGTGAAATACCTATTCAGTTAATTTTCAACTCTTGAATTTTTAAATACAGCAAAACTGCGAAATATGGTCTTAGGATTAACATGTTCGATCGGATATTTTTTCGATTTTCGAAAATAACAATTTTTTAAAAGAATTACCTAGTTATTAAAATCAAAATAAACATAAGTGGGTTTTCGACACTTGTTTATTAAAATCCGTATTAGATTGCAGGATTGAATTATTACTATTGGTAAAAGTGTAACTTAAGATATTCAATAATACTGTAATCGACAGCAAGCATAGAGGACTGTAGATAATTAATAATATAACTTTTAACACGGAGAAAGATTTATTGTTGACCAACGTACAAAAGCAAGATACATTGAGAATACATTGACAAAGTCAAAAAGTAAAAAAATATAAATTAAAAACAAGTATAAAAGCCTCCTTAAAGAGGCCAGTAATAATACATCAAAAACATGGTAAGGCTGTCGGCAACAATACTGTCTGATAACAAATAAATCTCTTATTAAACGTTGCTGACGATGTCAGTATGTGGTAATACACAGTTTAATGTTTGATCGTAGACATAAATTATTTTGTAAAGGCGATTATGTGTGTAATGTTATATTTTCACTTTCTATCTCTGGTTAACTTTATTTTCTAAAAAATATTATTTTCTTCTGTAAAACTTTACATAAAGCTATGGAAATCAATAACATTATGCGCTGGCGTGCTCTGAATAAGAATTACTTCTTTACAGGCTTGATTTATGCCAGTCAAGGTAAAAAATTTAAATATATATTCGTGCCGCACAATCGAGACATTATTGAATTAGTACTCATACGAGTGCGGTTTTTGAAGCGACGGGTTTTTACTAATATAATGCGCACAAATAAAGTTGAGACAACATCACATACATTGCGCAGATCCCAATCAAGTAGCTAAAGCACATGTGCTATGATAATCTGAAATATGGAAGGTAACAGAACACCCAAACCCGAGACAATAAAGAAAGGACAAATTATATATTGACCCGACCGGAAATCGAACCCGGGACCTCAGAGATGGCGATACACTGCAATCGAAGTACGAGCCGCTAGGCTACGAAAGTCGTTGTAGATAATGGGGTTGTGTGTTGTAATACAAATAGAAGAAAGATTTGATTGTTTGTTTATTTGCATCTAATAGTCTCCGAAATTACTAGACCTATTTTAAAAATACTTTCACCTACGGGAAGCTTCGTCATTTGCGATGGACATACGGTAAATTTTATCCCGAAAAAGGAAAAAAAAATGGAAGTGGAAGCCTGTATCAGGAATTAAATTTTATCATAGTTAACATTGTTTACTATTTAATTTGTCATCGTAATTATATATCTATGTCATGATATAAAATCTTATCTAAATGAATTATTAAAGTAAATCCTAAGCCTGGATTAACATATGGAATACTTTTTATCCCACTAAACAGTTCCCTAGGAACCTGTTTAGTGGGATAAAAAGCGGGTGAAGCCGCTGGCGAAAAGCTAGTATATCCATAAAATGACTTACGAATCCACACCAGCCTTGCAGGACCGATTGTCTGATACCGACACCCATGTTGAAGTCCTCAGAAGTATGGTGCACTTGATGCTGAGCCCATAGTATGTGGACCTCTGAAATAAACAATTACATAAATAATAGGTATTAATTAATATAATTTATTGTGATGACTGAAAGATTAAAAATTACAAGAAAGATATCATTCTACGAGTAATATAGCACTTAAGTAGCCTGGATTGCGAAAGGGGTTCGAATCCCATCTCAGAGTACCAGGGACAAAGTGGATGGTTTAAGCATTTTTCATTAAGATATTTCCCAGTATAGCAATGTGAATTCGTAATTGATCACACACAATAATTAGAACTAATTTTCATCTTTATCGAAAGTTTAAAATATTTGTAAAAATATTCCTTTCGGCTGTTTGGATGGGTTGCCTGAACATTGATGAAAATACGCTCAAAGTAGCGAAAAAGTAAAAAGTGCTTGAAAAATTCGTCGGGTCCTGTTAGATTCTGGGTAGCTCACTGGTAAGAACAGTCGCCCGGATCGCGAAAAGTCATGGGCTCCAATCCCCACCTCAGAGTACCAGAGACACGGTTGATTTTTTAAGCATTTCCATTAAGAACTTTTGAAACTTTTTAGAAGTGTAATGCCTCACCATGGCAAGCTCTGTGCATCCAGTAGTAACAGAAGTCTACTCCTAAAGCTGCCGCATACCACGTGAATGTATTGTCCCATGGTAATTCCACTAATCTATAATTCGCATATATCCATGTGTACAAATAAGACTCTGCTCCTCGCCATACGAGCCTAAAAAAAATAGTTACATAAATAAATAAGCACAATTAATATACTGTGCTTATAGAACGCGAGACTGGACATAATTGGTTACTTAATTTATATTTCATTTGTGCTTACAATAATAAAATCCCCGAATTTTTTTTTAAGAAATAGAAATTTATTTTTTTCTATTTTGCTATTTTGATTGGCTCAGAATGAAATCAAAATCAAATTCTCAGAAGGAATTCGCGGAGGTCATCACAATATTATAAAAATTAATATGAGATAACATTGGAATGATGCCAGATAAAAAGGATGGAAAAGAGATATAAGTGTTGCAACGATATTATAAAGCACTAGTTTCCGCCAGCGACTTCATTTGCCTTGTATTAGTCTTTCCAATAGTTTATTTTGTAAGAAGCAAGGAGGTTCTCCATTCAATTGAATATATTTTTGTATGTATGTTTATTTCGCAATATCTGCGTTACAAGTGGGTCGATTCTGATGATTATTTTTATTGAGAGGGTATATTCTCAACATGGTCCTTTTAAAATTTTATCGAAATTTGATTAGTAGTTATGTTTTTATATACAAAAAAATTGTAAAACATATATTTCCATGACAAAATGAAGGAGGAAAAGAACGTTCACAAAACTTACCTTCCACATTCCTGCAGTATTCCATGAGATATACTAGTTATTCCATCGTTCAATCTAATACCCCTTCTGCCCTTTAATCGTAAAACTATGTGCTCCAAAATCATAAATATGAAGAAGTACGGCCATGACTGTAACAAAATAATACTCAGTTATTATATAACAGATCATGATTCTCATTCAATAGGATCTCTAAAACACCATTTTCTAAGTTTCTTTTCGTTGGTAATCATTATGTATTACTATGTATAAAGGAAATTGATGAATATTATGTGAAATATCGTTATAGTTTTCGTTTAGTTATTTTGTTGTTATTTTAATTTATCCAAAGTCACTACTAAAATTATAAACTCCTTATACATTATTGTAAATTGTATTTTAATACAACCTTAAGGTGGAAATCCACAAAATGTTTTGGTATATATTTTACGTTTCCATTACTTACTAATAGTGTATCAAAATCTTGGGTTCGAATCCCATTTCAGGGTGCCAGGGACCAAGTGGATTTATTAAGCTTTTTTCATTAACAGTACCTATACAACTTGTAACATGACAATGTAAGATAGCTTCTTACATTGTATTTTTAAGTTAATATGTAATTTACTAACAAATGAGCCTTAGTTGCTAAATAAATGAATTTATTATTATTATTATTATTATTATTGTCATGTTACAAGTTGTATAGGCATCGTAAGAAAAGTTTATCTTTTTGTATCGTTTTTTAAATAGAAACATGTGTAGGGGTAGCCTAAAATGCGCCAATGTGTATATATTACATCAATGTATCTAGTTATTTTGAGTTTGAAGTAATTATTATGTCTATATGTGTAAAGAAGCCAAAATAATGTATAGTTCTCAGAAAAAAATGCTTAAAAATGCACTCTTTATTTTTCGCTAAGAATATTTTTTAGTTTAGTATATTGTGAATGCAAAATTTATCAAACATAATAATTAATAATGTTCGAAACAAGAAGTTCGAGAATTGAAGGTAGACCCCTAGGCTGAGCTTGAAATATGAAACTATAGGTTACGTTTGTATTAAATATTTTGTCGACCACAGTGCGGTTTTAGTTTCATAATTATGATAGTACACGTATTGAGCAATATGTTGACATAATTACGAGGCAGAAAATAATTTTCATTAAAATATAAATCCATTATTCATTGTGATCCCAATTGCGTATTATACATTGTCTTTATGATACAATATTGTGAACGAATGTAATTAAATCTTCATCAGTTTCTAAATAGTTTATTTTTAGATTTTTTAATTAATGATTAGAGCCTTTGATACTGTTGACATTATTAAGAACAAGTTAAAATGAATCTAATTCCGCTGACGATAAGATGTTGTTTAGCTTGTTTCGAAAGATAAATTACTTAGTCGACACGTGCATCCTTGACGTTGAATGATTGAGAAATTTTGAGATTCTTTCATAAGCTAATTTATGGATTTTATTATAGTAGTAAATGGTGTGGTACCTTTTTAATGAAACAAATAATCCTACTCGGTTTGTCCACGAACGAGATTTTGAAAAATTTCGAAACTTTTTATTTTTATTTTGTTAAAATCATATCTGTGCATCAGAGGCAGTGTTAGGCTCTACGTCAGCTTGGAGTGTATATATCTTGGCGTTACGAATATAGACGAAATTTAGTTTTCCGAGAAACAGAGAATTCATCGAGGCCGTTTCCGTTATTAGATATTATTTCTCACAGTAAATGTATAAAAATGAATTATTGCTATTTGATTGGAATCTGAAACCTTAAAACTCGATGACGGTTTTGCAAATATTTTTAAGGAAATACAGGTTTTTTTAGGTTGGTTTGAATTTGAAAAGCACTTTCAGTCAATTTTATAAACACTATAGATATGGTTAGTGAGAAGAGGTTTTAGTATTTTTAATTGATAAAACATTAAAATTATTTGTTTTCCAGTTATGGTGTAATTATAATGATTATATTAGTTTATTCAAGAAAAATTCTTTTAGTTAACTTAACTTGTAATTAAATGAAAACATAGTCACATTCATGTGAAAAAAATGACACATATAAATGTCAATATCTAATTAATTAGTCAGTATTCTTTATTTAAAGGATCAAATTATTTACCTGTTTAAAGAAATTAGGAACCTCTTCTTTCTTCTCATATAATGTTTCATGGGGGTAGTGTATGTAAAACAGTCTGCCTATACCCTTCAAATGTTCGCTGACTGCTTCGGAATAGCCGTTTCCCATAGTAACGTTGGCGTAAGACACAGCAGACGCCATCTTTTATGTTGATCTAACTGTAAAAAAAACAGTAATTTTAGCTCAAGTCAATTAAAGTTATTTAATAGAATCAGGCGTTATTTTGGGGAAGTCCATTGGTATAACTGTGAAACTATGATATCTCCAAGAGTTTATAGACCATGTTAGACCATAAAATGCCAAGCACTCGACTCGGTGGTCAAAGTCTGTTAACTCGATCACGGAGCATCATATCTGGATTCGATTCCCGGCCGGGTCGATGTAGAAAATGGACTTCTCTATATTGCCTCGAGACTGGATCTTGCGGTACTCAGATACTCCTTAATACGGGGGCTTTAGAAACTCTTGGAATCTGAACAAGTATGTGATGTCGTGCAATATTAAAAAAAGATTGTTTATTGATTAAACATACTTGCTTGCGTGAAGAGTTGTGTTTGTCGCAAGATTTGTTGTCGTTGTACATGTGAATCTGTGTGCGGTCGGTGTCATAGATGTCATAGTGTCACGTTATGTCAGTTTTAATATTGAAAATCAAATTTATCTTTATTGAAATTGATAACGGTTAGTAAACATGTACTGTAAACAATGAAAATGTGTGTAGATATTTTTATATACGGATTTGAGTGACATTTGGCATATAAGCAAAGATTGCACGATAAAAATAGCGCCGTCAACTTCCCTAATTGTAAGTTGTTTATACAGTAAATTTCTTTAAGCGTGACTGATATGAGGTTGCGGTGACACGTGTCGATAGGGGAGCTGATTCTTTATACACGAAATTCAATTGTTCGATATAAGTTTTATATATTCCTAATATTTTAATGACCTTTTTATAGACTTTTTTTTCACATTTTATATATTAAATCGACTTTTGAAATTAAATTTTATCTCCGTTTACAACTTTTTAATGCAATGCTCCTCTCTATTATTCAAAAAGTCAAATTTTAACTTAATCTGATAAGCTTAAACTTCATTATGTAAATTAATATTAGACATAATTGCTCAGATTCTAAGATGAGTAGCTAAAGCCCCCATATTATGGAGTATCTGAAACAAAGAAGGTACCACATCACGCAGACCCGAGACAATATAGAAAAGTTCATTTTCTACATTGACCCGACCAGAAATCCAACCCGGGTCCTCAGAGATGACAATACCTTGAAACCGGCGTGCGAGCTACTATTAAAAATGCCTTTTGCGTTGTACTTCACATATTGCGTGTTTTATTAATTATTGTATTTACTTAATTATAAAATAAAGTTTGCAAAAATATTTAAATTAAGTACCTAGTGTCATTGAGTGAAAATGTTTCGGACGAATAGAACTTAGGTTGAGAATAGAGACCCAGAGATGAACTAGGTTGCGACTCGGGTAACCGTTTCTCTCCTTGACCCCAATAATAATTACAATTGAGTAGTTTAATTGATCTACAATGGAGTTTATTATCATGTCAATATAGAATTGAAATAACGATAACTTGGAGTCGACATAATTATCAAAAAATCTTAATTAAATCCAATTGTCTTTTCAATACAAATTTTGCATTCTCCTGTTCTAGGGATCGTTTAATAATATTGAAATACAAGTAGCTCGGTGGTAAAGAATAAGCGCCGCGGCCCGCGGTCATTGTTGTTAAGCAACTAACTAGCAAGTCACAGGATGGGTGACCAAAAAATTATTATCTCGAGCTACTTCGTGCTTCGGAAGGCATGTTAAGCCGTTGGTTGCATTTGCAGTTGTTAATACCTTCCAATCCGCATTGGGCCAGCGTGGAGGGTCATGGCCCATCCTCCTTAACCATCCATAAGGAAGGCCTGAGTCCCTGCAGTGAGGACATAAAAGGGCTGATGATGATGATGATTTAAATACACTCTTCAAATGAACATTGATCCTTTAACAAATCCTTGTCTATACAATATTATAAAGAGGAAAGATTTGATTGTTTGCATGTTTGTTTGTTTCATATGCTCCGATACTACTGGATGGATTTAAAAAATTCTTTCACCTAAATGTTTTATTCCTTCTTAACTCGTTGTTTACCGTTTCTTTTATTTAAATTTATAAATATATATGTAAAGAACTGTAGGTTTATATGTTTTTATGTTCATGTATATTTTTAAAACCGTTTATTCTTCAATAAAATTAAATTAAGAAAAAAACGTGGGAAGTGGCGAGAAAACTATATTTAATTGAAATCTATGAGTTTTCGATATTCTTCTTTTCATATACGTATTTCTATGACCAAGCATAATTATAATAAATAAAAATTAATGTATTTTATTATCTATTTCAGTTGCTACTTCCCACCGAAGGGGTTATCTGGACCATGCTAACAACTTGTGTGCAAATAAAATTGATAAATCAAAAGAAAAAAAATATAAATATATTCGGTGGTACAGCATAAAGATAATAAACTTAGGTATTTAGTTAGAAATTTACAAAAAAAACATTGATATTTCGATAAAATGTACACGCGGCTGCACGTCATGTTACCATATGTCGAAATAGATTTTGAACTGTACCCGTCGATGTATTAAGATTCAAAATCAAGTGAGAAAATTAGATAGATATTTTCAACCCGAAGTGCTTGACATGTTGACTGTACGTATTATTTCGCTGAGTTCCAGGGACACTAGGGCAAAGATCATGCACACGGCATCAGAGTTTATACGCACAGTGGTAGCACAATTTCAATCCGCTTATTTGATATTATTACTATTCGTTTTATTTAATAACAATAATAATAAATCTAATTTAATTAGAAATATTTAATATTTGATTTTATTATTAATATAACGATTTGGAGTAGGGTTAAATAAAAAGGATGATAGTATACATGGGATATATGATTAAGCTAAATTAATAATAATAATATTAGAACATAAATTTAGTATGGCATCCTTAAGTCAGACAATATTAAAATCAAATTTGAAAAGAAGAACTTTGAGTTTAAGACATTCAACATTATTTTAAGTATAACAGCGTTTATGCTGTCACTGGATGCGGCGTGGATGTCTACTGGAATCCTACGGGTTAAGGTCAATGTTTTATAAAATAGATAACCTTTATAATGCATCATATATTGAATATTATAATAATAATGACCGAATGAAATAGCAATTAATTGTTGTCGTTCTGTCAACATCATCATCATCATCACCAGCCCCTTTACGTCCCCACTGCATGGCCTCAGGCCTTCCTTATGGATGGTTAAGGAGGATGGGCCATGACCCTCCACGCTGGCCCAACGCGGATTGGATCTGTCAACATACGGAAGGACTAACTTGTCCTTCCGTAGGGTTGAAGTTCACATTTTTGTCAGGGAAAAGTAATGTGAAATGATTACTCATATTTTCTATTGGTCGTTGATTTATTTCATCACAGTAATAAAGGTAGATATGTAATTTGCAATTTTGTTTTTAATGTCTTTGATCCATTGTTTGTTTTAATAAATTTTCATCGTATAGAAAAAATCATAAACTACAAATTCTTGTCACTGACTCAAGTCTCGCTAAAGTCTATTGTAGCTCAATACTCGCGAAAGATTATGGATTTGAATCCTACCTCGAGAATAAAAATTAAGCATTGTAAATACAAAATATATAAAACGAACATATCGCACTAAGCATTTCACCAGTACTTTTCTTTTGGAAATTTTTGCTATTGCCCGAAATAACCTAAAATCTCTTAGTAAAGGAAGAACTTTTTCGGTAACTATGGGACATTTTTGATCATTTATTTGTTTTCACGCGCCACCATTTAGATACAAGTTATTTCGATACCTGTTAATTACTTGTTAATAAAAGAGCTTACAATTTATATTTTAGAGCACATTTTGGAAATGAAATGTAAATGTTATATTCATACTCGATAAATTATCATAAAATTACTTTGAGTAGCTTGTTTTCAGGATTTGAACTTGACTGCGTGGGTCACAGGTAAAATTTATTTATAAATGTCCTAATACCTATATAAAGTTACTTTCCGTACGCGACTTCGCCGGCATGGATTTCATGATTTTCAATTTATTTAACTTCGTCAAGACTTCATTTTTTCAATATTCACTTAAGGAATCTCTACGTCGTAATAACTATTAGCGTGCCAAACAGCTTGAGATCTGTAAATTCGGTTTTAAGGTTTTTTTTTATAAAATATATATCGATTAACAGAAAAGAACTAAAAAGTTTTTATTTTTTCAAAGTCTGCTACTGTTTGTCAACACTTGTACCTACTCGTATTATATGCTTGACTATATAGGCTAGCAGCATCGTAAATTTTAGACCCAGCTCTTAATATTATTCATCCAGGTCAGCCGGTCTCATATCATATCCATTAACGCGACATCACGTAAGCTACGTATACCAGCAAATAGTATCCATTTCATTTTCAGATTCTCTACAGGCATTTTTGCCATCGTTTTAAAACTCTAATAACACGGTTTAAGATTCAAAATAGATTTGATAAATTAATAGTTGTGTTCAAAACTAGTGTGATATTGAATGTACATAAACTAGTTGATGTTATTAATTATGTCATGTTTCGTTCATATAGGACTAAACAATAATATGGGACATGATGTGACTCTAAATTACACTCGTTTCTACATTAATTTGCAATACAAAGTAATGCTATTTTGGACGCTTATCTAAGCTATCCACGTCTTGTGTGACCACTAGGCGTTAAGTGTGATATAACGTCGCTGAAATTAGTGACGCTAATCGAATAGCAAAATTTGCGATGGCGCTTCCTATCTGCACGTTTTTTTCTGCAAATCGACATCAAGTGCATACTTTGTGTCTGAGATGAGGTATGAAATCTTAATGACTTACATGACGCGATGTCACATCGAAAATTTTGTGATTGTCATATTAATTAATTGAACTATAATCATATATTTAACTTTCTGAAAGGTTTCTATTTCGTCGAGAACTCGCAGATGATATAAGAATCACTATCATTAATCAGATATAGGTAATGATTCAAAATGTGTATCCGTTTTGTAACCGCACTATTTTAAGGATTATTATTGTATTCACGTCAATAGATTATCATATTAAAACTGGAACTGGTAATGATTTAGCGAAATGATTATTTTAATACGCCACAACTGATGAATTAAATATAGTTTTAACCGCAAAGGTAAAAAAGAGGCAGATTATACCTATCACATAATTTGAACAAACAAAGACATAAAATGACCGCAAAATTTATTATCAATTTAAATTATTCTAAAAGGTCGGAACTGTGAATTATAAACAAAATTAAAATGCTTTTTTTTTACTTCTAATATTTTGTAAAGATATTATTAATTTTTTCAAATTCGATCCTATTATTTCAGTCAAGGCTGTTACAAGCACTTGTGGATGGCGGAAAAACCGGCAAAAGGCTTTTTTCTCCTTGTTTTATTTCAATAAAGAAGCCTAATTGGAAGATACAATTTGGGACAGTTACTAACACCAAGAGTTTGCTGAGATTTAAGAAGTACAGTAATAATGAATGACGTTAAATGTTTATTAAACCTAATAAATTAAATATTAAATATATCTATGTTTTTCTATTGTTTAAATGTTTAATTTAAGTAGATACATTTGACAGATTTGTATAAAACAACGCGCTGTCGACTATACATCATGTGTATGTGTGAATGACATTTTCTCATTATTTACTACCGTATCGTATCACAGGTTTTAATGACGGAAAAGAAAGCTTGCTAAAGGGCCTATTATCAAACCTAAATCAAAGAAAATGTGATTTTATTTTTTCAAATAAAATTCTCGGGCAATATGCGTATCTAATAGAACTTGTTAAACAGTATGTTACTCTAACATTTAATCACATACAGTTGCACAAACGGCCATTAAGGATTAATGACGACTTTAAGCTCTTTTTACATAAATATTTTTTTTTTCGGTAATATCGATATTGGGTATACGTCTACCAAATCTTCAAATTAGCTAAAGGAATTTTATTAATATTTTTTAATCACTTTTAGTGGTTATCAAATTAATTATAGTATGTTAACATATCATGATAAGTCTATTAGAAGGATATTCTATTTTAAAAATCAGATTATTAGGATTAAAACGTCGCCTATAAAAATTAAAGGAAAGGTAAAACATATAAAACGATTTTACATATTGTAAAACACCTATGTCATTTTTTATCTACTTCTTATTTAATATTTATTATTGTTCATTTATTATGGAAATGTCACACAGTTTTCTTTGGACTTCCGTATTAACAGCAAACTGTAAAAAAAATACTGACAAAATACAAAAAATATGATTACAGTGCTATAGTGAAAAATGTTCTAATGAATTTTTTTTTAAGCATTTTTCGTCAATACAATAAAAAAAAGAGCTACAAAAATATAAATGTCAAAGAAATATTAATTTATAAATAGAATATTTATCTTCGTTCACGCATAATTAGAACAAGTTTATTAACATAATTTATTGACAACTTGACCTCTAATTTATTGCATAAGTCATTTGCATACTATCGACGATCGCGGCGTGATTAGTTCATTTTCACTGGGATATTAAAAAAATCGAGTTTTATAAACAACTAGCTGTTTTACCACGACTTCGGCCTACGAGTATGTCATCTACGTATGATCTAGCTTCCCTTCCTTTAATGAAAGAATTTTTAAACTCGATCCAGCAGTTTAGGAGCCGACTCGATGCAAACAAAGATATCTTTCCTTTTTATATTTTTACTCCTTTTTATAACATAAGTAAAGGCGAATAAAAAATGTCAACTCTTTATTTTATAGTCTAGAATTAAGCTATGATAGGGTAAATATATTTTTCTCTTTTTCATAATAATGCTTTGTTCATATTTACTATTGGTAGTTGATGAAAAAATTAATTACCAGTTATTATTTTTATATTTTTTTATTATTTTCCAATAGACAACTCATCAGTTGTCTTAATAGAAAACTTTAATTGAATATATCGCTAATCTATATATTGTTTTAACAACATTATTACCGATTACTATTAGTTATCTCAATACTGATAATGCTATAAATATTACGTCACATAATTTGTATTGTAGATAATATATATGTATCATTCAATATTTTTATTATTCATACAAATCGGTACAGTATTACACCTGTGTTACAGATGGACACCCCCTGATTACTATGTCAATTATATATTCTTATTTGATAATTGAGAAGTCAAATTAATTAACTGTTTTCATTGTTGTGGCCTGTAATTAGGTTGTGGTTAAATAAGAAAAACCAATGAAAGAACTAAAAAATGAATATTTACCTATACTAAAAATACCATCCTAATATATCAATTTTTATTGTGAAATCACTGAATTTTCATTTAATATAACGTTCCCATTTTAAACTTTATATTTATGGGTTGGTTAATATTATCTTCATAGGAACCAGTAGTATTTATTTTTATAACACCCGGACCGAATGACCTTTAGTCATATTGCAAAATGTGAATTAATGACATGTTTACAATCACATTGTGTATCAGTCTAGTTTTAGATTATAGGAAGTCGGAAAATAGCTCTAAGGAAGAGGAAAACTGTGTGCTTTTTAAGTAATATTTCCACCAACGACGATTCGATATGGCTAGCGAAACGATAGTTAATAATTGTGTGAGAATGTAGTTTTTCTTTGTTTTGAAAAAACATATAAATATTTATTTTTAATAATGATAGACCTTAACCGATAAAATTTATTTAAAAAAATGTCAAATGTGTCTTGAGTAATATTTGTGGTAGATGAAATAAACTGTCAAGATAAAAAGTTTTATATATAAACAATAATAGTTTTAATATTATGTATCTCGATCCATAAGAAAAATATATATATTTTTGTACTTAAATTAATAAGAACTATTTATCCAAAGCACATACAACCAGGCCAATGATTTTAAAATAAGTGCGAAGCAAATATATTTCAGTGTGAATTAAGTGTCGCTTTCGTCTCGTTTCGCCTCGCCTGTGGAGGAGCAACTTTATTGTATGTTTAATACTAGCTATTGCCAGTGTTTTTATTCTCACTAAAGTTGATAAAACAATGAAAGTGTTCTATTTAAATAATTAAGTAGGCTAAGATATAGCATTTTACCAGTTCGTGCAGATATTTTTTTCACATTTATAATATTTTTTTTATAACCTCTGTGACTGAGTAGCTCGCACGTCAGTTTTAAGGTGTCACTGTCTTTGAGAGTTCTAGGTCAAGTCCCGATCGGGTCAATGTAGAAAATGAACTTTTGTGTATTGTCTGAGTTCTGGGTATTGTGTTACTTTCACTGCTTCAGATTTCTAGAAAAAAAGTGCCTTAAGATTGGGAGCCGAGGAATATATGTGATACCATTTTTATATTGACAATATATAATAGAATATTAGCTGGAAAGCTCAATGATAGATTTATATAGATTACCATAATTGTAGTTTTAATTTGGCGTAATTATTCATAATTTAATTTACCTATGTAGTATATAGTTACGTTGATAATATTATTTATTATTTTTCCGCTACATAAGATCATTTTATGAAATTACTTGATACATAATTAACTGATTCCGCAATTTTATTGCATTGAATATAATTATTGCAGTCTCTAACGGTCTGGTAATACTATAAGCTAGTTATTTGACTTCCGGACAAATAAATAATCATATCTTTCTCTGGTAATTTTTTAGTAAAGGATAACTTCTGTAGGGGATTTAAACTCAATTATAGAAAAAAGTTATTTTTTAAACTTCTACATTTTTTATATTAAATACTTAAAATACTTATATTATAATCAAATTCTTTACCAAATAAATTAAAATAGGTCATTGTTGCTTTTCACCCAGACAAATATCTGTAATGGAAAACCCATACTGAAGCTTTTGGCTGTTGAAAAAACTTAGTGTAGTGAAATTTCAAAGTAAACAACCAGAGAAGTCATCCGGATTGTCGAAGATATGGGCCCATGTCGTGTTCTGGGGTTCTTTATTTCTTTCAATTAGTAAGGTACTGTCGCCTTATAAGGCCCACTGTTTTCCACCGCTGTAGTGCTAAACATCAGATCTTTAAGGACAGAATAATGTAATTTGAAGCTGTATATCTGATACAACTATCAGATATCTGATGCAAAGAACCATCTGATTTTTTAGCACTTTATCGGTCAAAAACAGTGGCGCTTATTAGGCGACTGTACCTTACTAATTGAAAGAAATAAAGAACAATCCAAAAATAGTTGTTTTTTTGCCCTCAATTGTACGCGCGTGTAGAAACGTTGACATAATTGATTTCAATTGTGAGATATATGCGTTGCGTGAGTCTGCCCTTGTTATATATCTTTTATGGCGATAATATTAAGGTATAAATTAAAATGATAACCAATGGACATCTCTCTATCTGTCTCTTTATCTAACGATAAGATTTAAATAAATAAATGTAACGTCAATGAAAAATTAAATAGTATTCTTTTGAGTTAAGTAACATTTACAAACGTTTGTTATCGGATGGGTGACCGAGTATCCGTCGAAGATGTATCTAACATAAATATGTGAATTATTCTCGAGATTCCCTTTATAGAATTATTGTCATTATGTAAATGTCAAATTGAGGTTACAATTTGAAACAAGATTAAATTGTCTGTCTGTATGTTAGGAGTACCTAATAACATTATAATAATATTGTGAGTTTGCGCAATATATTTATCACGGAGGTAATTTTAAAATCTAAGATATAAGATAGGTATTTTTATTATAATTAAATATAAAAAGAGTGAATTAAGTTGTCATTAAATAAAACAAATTAACAATGAAACATAAAATGAAAAATAAGTACTTACGAAAATAATTTAAAGATAAACTCAATTGTTCACTGAATGAATTCTCATCACATTCTAACAATCACAGTATGAAAATTCACAAATAATCAGTTCTAACAGTCAATTGCCCGAGATTCGCAAATTAACCCTGTAACCGCAGGGGCGCTTTTAAAAAATCTGGACACTTAAAAAAGTTCACCAAGAAATTTAAAGTTCGAATCGTAAATTGATTCATATATCGAGTAACGTATTGATTTAAACTACCGGGCGGCGTGCACTCACGCAAAGAATCGAATGTAAACAGTCGGACCGAGGAGGTCGGATTTGTATAAATAGCTTTGTTAGTCAAGCCAAGAATATTAACACTCGCATGCATGCAGGTAGTTTGTTTGGTTATTTTTTATGTATTTTCGTTGTGCCTGCGTTAGTTTTTTATAATAATTTATAGTGGCAACAATTCTAATTTGCTTAAGATTTGAGTTTGAATTACAATTATATTTATTACTAAACATTAATAAGATATTTTAATAATAATGTTGGTTCAGTTGACATCACATCAGGTTACTATGAAAGGTCAAATTCCTGGAATAGATTTAAGCTTTAAGGGGTGCGTATACCAAAAACTTTGTAAAAATATGACCGACTTTATAAAAAATATTTTTTTAAAAACAATTTTTTATGTACTTATGTTGAACTGATATGTCATTCGTAGTCAAAGACAACACTATAATAATGATAATGAATTGCGATAGTTACTTCAAAAATATATTTTTAACCTCTGTATATACATATATCCCTATATTCATATATCTTGTCGTCGTGTGTCAATCTGTTTTCTTTACGCTCAGACTTAATCTATTCTTAAAATATGGATAGCAATACAGATTTTTATTTTCAAATTATAATCTGCTAAACAAAAGGAATATGGTCTAGGATTATGCAAGCAGCCGCAGTTCATAAAAAGTTAATTATACTGGCTCACAGACTAAGTTCCGGACATATACTGTTCAATAAGTTTGGATACCGCATCCTAATTATAATACGTATTGAGGATGTGTTCCATGTCTTGGCCGGAATGTGTCAAGAATCAAACTAAGCGAGATAATCTAGTCGCGAATTTGTTGGTTAATAAATTAGATTTTATCATTACAGATCATATTTGCTAATCCAGCTTTGACCCACAAGTTTGTAGCTGAAAGTTTTGGAGATCATACGTTATCAAAATATTGTGATCTCAATGGGACTGACATTAAAACAAGGTTTATACAGAAGCCCCTTAAACAATAAGTATTAAAAAAACCCAATGTGCTGTCCGTGGCTGTACATTAAAAGTAGAAAAGTAAATCGTTAAAAATGACGTATTGATTGTTTTGTTTTTTGAACAAAAAAAAATAAAAAAAAAATATTCTGTTAATAAATTACAATCGGTCGTTCGGACCACACGACATATTTTAGTGTTAATGCTTCATAATATATTAATAACACCGCTAGTGAGATAGGTGTGCTGCCCGACGTGAATGTTTACATTTTGATAAGTGGCGCGAAAGATTATATTAACACGAACACTTTGTTTCAGATTTAATGTTGCGGATTCAAAATAATGTTCCGCGATTGAGTACAGGTGAACCTATTAGAAATATTTTTGAATATTTTTAGGGTAAAAAGGGATCTATCGCTAAAACTTCGCCGTCTGTCATTAAGCTGTGTATCATAAACCATGAAAATAAGATATTTAAAAATACTAATTACTGGAATAAAACAAGTATTTCGGGGCTTCCATACATCAAACGTGATTTTTTGCAGTCACCAGGCTGTTTCTGACGAACCGTGGTAGTTAGATAGTTGAGATTTTCACAGATGAAGAAAGTATTTCTGTTGCCGCTATAATAATAAAATAAATTATTAAGGGTACTACCATACAACAAACGTAATATTTTTTGCTCGTTTTCTGTACGGAATGCTTCGTGCGTTAGTCCGACTCGCATTTGATGGTTTTTTAGATTTAGAACGTCTTTTGTCTGATAAGAAGAATGGGTGCAAGAAATTTACCAGAGCTTTACATGGAGTACGTACCTAACGACATTTACAATAAAAAAATATCATGTTAGCAATAAAAAATGAGATAATTAATTCGTTTATCATTTAGCATGCCGTAGCATATATTGATTATTATATCTGCGACAATATAACAGTATATTAATTTAAATTGAAATAAAAAAACACAAGAGTATATAGTAGATATTTAAAGATAAAATAAAATGAAAAATACTCAAAAAATCTACCAGTATCAGTTGAGGGTTCGAGTCCCGTCTCAGGGCAAGGGCAGGTGTATTTTTTATAAGCATTTTTCATTTAAGATTAACTGTATTTTTATAAATTTATCTCACATATGTCTATGCTATTATTATAAAGAGGAAATATGTAATTGTTTATTTGCATTAAATAGGCTGTACCCTACTAGACTAATTCTAAAAATTCTTCACCCACGGGAAGTCACAACAAAACATCTAATATTAAATAATTTAAATCAATACTCATATACTTCTTTTCTTTCCTGTCGGAACTAACTGGTGGGTATTTAATTTATAGCAATTTAAAGAGTTTCAATATAAATTATATTAGAATATTATTAATACGATATTACTATGGTATAATACTAATTAGTAGTAACAAGACCCAGGACAGTTCCTGGGTCTTGTACGTCTATCGATTGCGTTGGATACAGCGGTTTTGCGGTTTTCGCACATATCAAAGTTTATTCTAAACCACAGTCTACTTTGAATGGATTTAATAGATAAGATTATAAGTTTTATGATTAATTTTATGTTTTGTGTGGCTGTTTTAAAACCTTTCTAGCAGAGAATAACTACCATTACACGTATTTTACAATTACTAGTTAATGTTTCATTAACTCGAATAGACAGTTCCTTAAAATGAATTGTGGTAATTGTTACTTATTTTAAATTATTGGATAAAAATACATTTTGATAACTGGGTAAGTATTCAGTCCCATTATTATACTTTTATGCTGTTTGAAACTATGTGTTTCAGTATCATAATTTACGCTTAGGTTTAGCTGCCTATAAGGTTATTTCTCCAAATATTATTATGTTTTGTAAGATAATTAAAACATAAAAATATCATCGAACGGTATTATTTAAGATAACAGGCATACCTGAACGGAATAATGAAAATCTTCTTGACTACATAACCGCTATTGGTCGATATGTGGCAATTGAAATTTCTTCAGAGGATATATTACACGTCAATAGAATACCATTTATTAAAACCGCAGGTCGTCCTAAATCTATCATAGTGAAATTCAAATCTCGACTTGTCCGTGACACCATCTTATCAGGGATTCGTACCAAGAAGGGCATTACTACCACTAATATCAATATTTCTGGCAAGGAGACCAAAATTTTTGTAAACGAGCACCTAACACGATCAAATAAAATTTTGTATAAAAATACTCGTGAAATGGCAAAAGCAAAAAACTATCGTTATATTTGGATTCGCGATGGAAAATTATTTGTGAGAAAGAGCGATACTTCTGCGTCCATACACATCAAAGAACCTACAGATCTAAAGAATATTGTATAACAATATTATGTCGCATTTATATTGTTTATTTTTCTCATAATAAAATAACAAAAACTTATATATCGAATAGCCATCTTATAAATAATATATTTACACGTAAAAAATTATATAGCCTAACTAATAGTTGTGTTATTTATATTAAAATCGTAATTTATATGTCACAATCACTATTTACTCCCTTTTTGATTTTTATATACAGCACTAATAACGTTACATCACTAAATAAATTATTAAAACTTCAATATTTATATACGAATTTTGGTCATATTAGTATTTACTCGGTAATTTATCAAATTTGTTACATTCAATGAAGAAAAATTGAATATTATGTATCAAAACGTGAGGGGACTTCGCACTAAATGTTTAACACTCCATAACAGTATTCTGGCGCATAATTACGACATTATTCTTTTAAGCGAAACATGGCTACAGAGCGACATACTCGACTCCGAGCTGTGTGATGGTCGGTACTGCGTGTTTCGAAGTGATCGAGATCTCAACCGTACAGGTAAGCGGTGTGGCGGTGGCGTCATGGCATGTATCCGTTATGAACTGGGCGCCTTTATTAATGTTAATTGGTCATGTCATACGACAGAAACATTATGTACTAGTGGACGCCCGCGACTTCGTCCGCGTGGAAGTCGGTATCCCGTGGGAGTGAGAAGTTTTCCCAGTAAAAAGTACCCTATGTGTTATTCTGATGTATAACCTATATTGCTGTAAAGTTTTATCCAAATCCGTCCAGTAGTTTTTTCGTGAAAGAGTAACAAACATCCATACATCCATACTTACAAACTTTCGCCTTTATAATATTAATAGGATTACTATTAGTAACAAAAGGCTGCACCAAACTGCTAACTTGAATATAATATTAATTTATAATCCCCCGGATAGTTTAGTAGCGTCTAGAACACTAGATATTATAAAGTCATTAAACGATATTTATGCATTTAATCCGAATGATATTTACCTGCTTGTAGGGGATTTCAACTTGCCCTGTTTAAACTGGGAAAGTGATCGATGTACTTTAAAACACATAGGCAAAGCAGAAGTTCAATTTGCAGCGCAGACTTTAATCGACGAACTTCAGTACCTAGGATTATCTCAATATAATAGTATACCTAATGCTAGTAATAACATTCTCGATTTGTGTTTTTCTAATCTTACATTAAAAGTAAATCGAGTGCCGCCACTTACTAAAGAAGACAATTTTCACCCTCCTTTTGAAATTAATATTATTGACTTGTATATTAAACCATTAAAAGAGAACTACACGGCTCGATACAATTATCATAAATGTAATTATACCACAATAAACAAGTATCTCAAAAACGTTGATTGGAATAAAACACTTGAGGCTGATAATATCAATATAGCAACAAAACAGTTCTACAGTAAGTTACAGGAGTGCTTTGATTTGCATATTTCTTTAAACATTAAAAGCGGGTCATACCCGGTCTGGTACAGTAAAGCTCTTATTAACATAATCAAAGAAAAAAATAAAGCTCATAAAAAATGGCGGAAATTTAACAATCCTAGGGACTACGATGTTTTCAAGCTTTTAAGATCTCGTCAACACCGTGTACAAAGAGAATGCCTTGACCGTTTTACCAATAATGCTGAGCATCATATCCGGTATAACCCCAAATACTTCTGGACCTACATAAAGAATAAAAGGGGAAGCACTAATTATCCGCATCAG